CGCCAGAATGATGTTCAGCGGCTTCGCCCAGGTATTTTCTTTCGCCCCTTCTATGCCCTGCCGGACATTGTATAAATGTAACTCTGTCATACACGTTCATCGACAGGAATTTAAACCCTAAAAAGATTAAAAAACACCCCAAAACGGATGTTTATAAGCCGCAGCCGTCAGGCTTCCTGCTCGACCGGAACGATACACGATGCCGTTTTGCCGGACTCAGGAACCCGTAGTACAGCCGGCTGGTAGCTGGTACAAAGAGTTATTTTTCTGAGACCGAAAATCCACTGACGATGCGGGCAATAAAGACCAGTGAATAAATATAACCCGTGAGAATAACCAGAATAGTGGCATTACGAGCTGGCCAGCTGACGGCAACAATATCGCCATAGCCTACGGTCAGGATACTGATAAAAGAATAATAAAAAAGTTCATTCATCATCTGCAACTCATCATTTGACAGTCCACGGAACGCGCCAGGCATATGATTTTCTATCGCAGAAAACATGAAAAAACCTATATAGCCAATAAGCAGAAAACCACTCAGCGCAGCGCAGATGGACTCTGTGTTTACCCGGGTGGAGAAAATCACCTGGCGGAACACAATCACTGACAGAATGATGAAAAAGACCAGATAACTCCCGTAGTACAGCTGTATCATGGCATTGACGGGATGCAGCCAGTGTGTGGTGACAAACATTATCAGCAACACAATAAATGAAACGACCTGATAGCGACGCTGCAACAGATTAACGCCCGCCACAATCTGCAGCACGGTATTCAACTCGTACCCTGCAGCGCTCGGTGGAAACATATTGAGAAAGAAGGTGCTCAGCAGTGCTGTGAAAAGAAAAGCAAATTTGTGTTGTTTTATTATCTTTAACATAAAGGAAGCATTTCTGTTTGTTCAAATACCAAAGAGCAAAAGTTGTCTGTGAGTATGTGGAAAAGTTGAGCAGAATTTCCCCCCCCGGGTGGCTCTCAGGTGCACCACCGCATCCGGGGCAGTGACTCATACATCTACCCCAGCTCTGCCAGACGGTAGCCCCGCCTAGGAAATAGTGTTAACAGGACGCATTAACGAACAATATAAAACAAATATATTTATAATTATTGATATTAGCAGAATTACTTGCTCTGCTAATAATGTCCAATCAAATGGCAATCTTATAATAAAAATGAAGATCATAAATTCAATAGCAATGCCTGAATATGTTATTGCAAGAACATAGAAATCTGTACGACTAACCTTGAGGTTTGCAGTAGTAATTATATTGTTATGTTTGAAATAAAAATAACATACATATGATGCCCAATAACTGTATATGATAAAAAAGAACCCACTTATGTAGATAATGTATGTGGTTGTTTCCTTGTGTTGTAAAAAGTAAGACATCATAATAGAAAATAAAGTTTTGATTCCGAAGGCAGCAAAAATAATAATCAATATGGAAAGTAATGTGCAGGCTGTAACTTTTGTGCCTTTTAGTAAACTCGTTTTTAAAATCTCTCGCTCGCGCTCCATGGTTTTTTCTTTATGAAAATTCATTTTGTGTTTTTGGGAATTTTGCATTTCTTTGCTCTATCACTCTTAATTTTAATATTGCAATATTGTATGAATAACGACGGATTTGTCTATCGTTTTTTGATGATTACCCTAAAACGTTTTAAACACTTTTTTTGTTGTGAGCGTTTGTGATAATCTTTAAAAGATTATATGTCGTACATATGGTTTCAATAAAATTATTGGTAGATTTATCTATGAGCTGGTTTGAAAACATTTTTGGATTTGAAGAAACGTCATACTATGATACACAAGCTAAATTCTGCCAGCATGGTGCTGAATTATTTACGATGGATACACCATCGCGCTCCTTTCATTCTGGTTCACTTATTTTGCCAAGTCTTGCAGAACTACGAAAAGAAGTCTTAACCTTACCAGTTAAGCCTGTTGGAAAAATTAAACTGAGTGGGGTGCAGATTGATGCTTATGAACTGCATCGACGGCCTGAGGTGTGTGGTGCATTAATTCAGGTTGCCAGCCAGTTCAATCTACTGGAAATGCCAACCCAGTACACAACACCAGAGAAGGGTATCACCGGATATCAAAATGATAATACGCAAGGGCCTGCGTGCGCTATGGCTTGTGCTGCAGCAACTGTATACCGAAACTATCTGGTCAGAACGGGAGGGCAGATAGGGCAAACCAGTGATATCCAGCTTAATACCCTGGCTGACATGGATAAACTCATTGGCATTCCTGGAATCCGGATGCAAAATGGATATGCCATGATGTCACAAAAAACGTTGCTTGCTATTAGCCGTCATATTGAATCGCTGGATGAATCATTACTGGATAAATTAAGGCAATCCCTTCGTGTAGGGATGCATGTTAATACTGAAGTAACGATCCCCGGTGTCTCAAAGGAGCATCGGGTAACGCAAGTATTATGTTCTGCGTTACCAGTGGCATATCATCGTTACCCGGTTAATGACTGGAAACCTTTTGCATTATTGATACTTCAGGCATGTTATGAAGCAACCTTATTGGCCGGATTGATTAACTATCACTATACAGGAAACCCCAGAATATATTTAACCCTGGTTGGTGGTGGAGCTTTTGGCAACTCTCCAGAATGGATAACATCCGCACTCAGACGTGCTTTATGTCTTTTCAGAAATTACCCCCTGGATGTTTATCTGGTAAGCAATAGAAAATTACCTGTAGAGATATATGGATTTTTACATGAAATTGCTTGTCAATTATAAAATATTTATATGGATTACACGATTGTAAATATATAGAGCAGGTGGTTAAATAAACCTGCTCTTTTTTTGTTATTTTTTTAACATAGAAAGATTGCGTCTGGTTTGTTCTTCGAAATCATCTTTTGAAGTGATGCTCTCTGATTTGTTTTCTGAAGATGCCCCTATAATGTTTTTTAACACATTTATATCAATTGATGTAGATGTGTATCCTGTTGTTTGCTCTATAAGTTTCACCAGATTTTCTGCA